ATGGATAATGGCCTGAAGCATACTGGAAAAGCAACCCAAGCGTTTCTTAAGGCAAAGAAATGGGATTATTTTCAATAGCCAATAGAGTCATTTGAATCAGTTTTTAACAATTTAAAGCAGCTTTAATGGTGTGGTAATATAAGATTTGATAATCGGATGTATAGAAAGGTAACATCTGACCCATGAGCCGATGTGGGCTAGCACTGAGGTCCTTACAGGCTGAGCTTGATCCAAACCAGCACTATGCTCAGTAGGAGAAATACTCTGTTCACGGTTTTTCAAATAAAAGCTGGCAGAAAAGGTTGAGAATGGCAACAGCAGTACTTTTTTTCTTGCTTTTGCAAAAAAAAGACTGACCTAATTCTTTTGGGATTTTGTAAAAGAAAGAAAACTAATACATGAAATGAAATCTCCTTTGACCTAAAACATTTGATAAACATGTTTTATGTGTGGTCATGCATTTTTCCCCAGGTGTGTGATTGATTCTATTTTAAGTGCATTGCACCAAACTTTCTTTTCCCCAAATCTCACCTTGACGTCATCAATCTTTCATACTCTAAGAGCAACCTGTGACACCCGTGGACACACACACTCACACATAGCCATTCTTATTTCACTCCTTCCCATTTTCCTCCAATTTCTACTTCATCAGACATTCCTGTCAACACAGAGCCCAGAAGTGCTAAAGGAAGATAAGGAAATTGTGATGCTGCGTTGTAAAAGAAGCTCCACTCGTCCTTGTGTCCCTCGTCACCCTTTTCATTTTGCATCTGGCAAACTTCTCTCTGTCTTCTTTCATTTCAGCGATGGAGATGCATCAGTAGCGCCCCATTCATCAATTGTGCCTTTATGTCATGGGTGGCGTTGGTGTTTGATCTCTGAGATGGAGAAATTACAGACAATCTCAAAATAATGGTACTGGAACATACGGAGGCATAATTATGCCCTCATTAAAAATAATGAACAGAAGATGCTTTGTAGACAGAGTGCAGCAGAAAAGAAGAAGCCAAGCTGCTGCTGGCAAAGTTGAGTGTGAAGGAAACCCTGTCTGTGGAAGGTGGGAGATAATCTTCTGTTCTCACTCGCAACTTTAAAGAGGTCCCGACATTAACTACGACTTGTGTCCAGGTGTCAATGAGGGCAGGTTGGGATCTGAGTTTAAACTGGATCACGTCAAAGTCACTTGATTGCATTGTTTGTTTTATCGACAGCGGTTTCATTGATTGTCCTCGGGCTCCTCTTGCTGTTCCGATCACAACAAATGTCTGTTGCGGAAAGAGAGAGAAAAGACTATTTTAAAGCATCGCAATTTGTTTTCAACGGCGACGATCACTCAGCATTTCCATTCTCAAACTGTAATTATTTATTAGAATGATTAGTAATGGTAGTTGGATTGTCATAAATGATGGTGCTGGCTGCTTGGAAATCCTGATCGAATCATCCATAAAGAGAAGGACAAAAAGGAACATGCATGATTTGAGAGTCCTACATGGTTCAGAGATTAAAGCTTTTCTGAAGCTTCCGAGTACTCATAGAGGAGAACCAGCATGATGCAGCTTTAATCACATCACGCTATCAGCATGCCTCTTGTACTGTAGTAATTGTTGGGGGGGGTTTGTTAGGAGCTCCTCCTTTTTTGTTCGTGTAGAGAATAACTGTAAAACTATTTTAGTGCTAGAGTTGTCTTTCTGGTGGTTATTTACTTTTTAGGGGAGGTTTCAGAGATTGAGACCAGTGGACAGTGGTGTAACTTTGACTGCTTCTGTCTGCAAAAATAAACGGAACACACTGTACCAAGCTTATTGTTGAAATAAAAGCAGACAGTCTTTTCACATTTTGAACAAATCTCCAGGTTGGCCAAATTCATTTTGAACAGGAACACAATAGCACACAGAAATATCATCACCAGTGCTATTTTAACATCCCTCACAGTTTGCAGACTGACTTTGTGGCTTTTCTTAGTTTTCCATTGCAGAGAGGAGCATTGAGGATCTGCCCTGTTTCAGTTTTACTTTCAGAGCCAGGACTGCGTGTGTTGGCTTGTATTTCTTACTCTGTTTTGACTTTCTTTTCTCAGGGGAATCATTAATTCATACATTTCTTAAAGCTGCACTGTGTTTACTTTAGTGCAGCTGGCCTATGTTCGACCTCAATAAAAGATTGATGCATTCGCAACACGTTATTTTCGTATTCACCTTAGTGCTAGTGTAGGATACACAGAGAAAGTCTTAGAAGAAGTTATCCATTCTGCTAGTTAATATTTAGTGGCCTACCTGGGACGAATGAATGGCTGCTCTCCATAAGCATTAGGCTCTGGAAAGAAGTACTTCAAGAAGTACTGTGAACTAGTAGGCAGCAGGTACACTGTCAACCTCTCTCTCTCTTGAAGTGAGTGCTAATCATATGTTGTCAGTCAAAGCCAAACCAGAATGTTATTGTTGTCAGACACCCCTGTGACAGGGTTAAGGCTTCAGGATGGCTGATGGTGGGGAAATAAAGCACTTGGTTTGCAAAACTCAATAATCACAAGGTTTCCATGAATGTTGGTTAAAGTAATGTTCCAAAATTCCTATGCAGTGTGATATACTGTAATTTACTAGCGTTGCATAAGAGAGGGAAAATGATTAGTTAACCAAGGATTGCAATTATGTGTGGTTGTGGTTTTATCCTCATCGTGTGTGCAAACAAGAGGCTCATTCAAGAGGCTTCGCTAAAAGCTAAAAGTTCTAAAGCCACACTGAGGAAGATGCCAGCCTTAAAATTGAGTTTTGTTTTTTCGTCTCACACAAACTGTGTTGCTGTGTGTGCGGAGGGGGTTTTTTGTTGTATTTTTTTTTTTTTACTTCTAACCCCATATTTTTGTGTCCCACAGATTGTGGCCTTACGGGAACAGAATGCTCACATCCAGAGGAAAGTGGCATCAGGTGAGGGAGGAGAGGACATTTTGGAGGGCAGTGAAGCTCAACAGAAGGTCCATGGCAAGGTGAGCTCCCTTGATTAAAATATGGGTGGAAAAAATGGTCAAAATTATGTGTGGATCTATAATAACTACACTACACTTTAATAGTCTGTACATTATGGCAATATTTGCACTTGTTGTTTTTGATTAAGATATAGTTTATTCTAAAAATGTGCATAGTATTATGTAAGTATATATTAAATATACTTACTGTGGCGGTCATACAGTAACCCGGATGTTTTCCATTTCAAAATAAAAGCACTACCAATCAGTATTTTGTCTACAACCCTGCTGTGGTGGCGTTACACAAATAATTCCTGTACATTTAGTTCCCCCTGCTGTATTGGCATTTTGACTTTAAAGTATTGCAGCGACTATCACATGGTTTTGATCATACATTTATTTACCTCTGCAGGCATTCTGAAGGAGTTAGGCGAAAACTCCTGCTGTGATCTCACCCCCTGCCATTATGCAGGAGCACACATGGACATCCATAGCTGAATACAAATTTCCTTTTGATTATTATTTTAACAGCATAGGTGTAGGTGTAGATTACGCTGATGCCTTTTTATGTCAGAAGCACGCGAGCCCAAAATGATGCACCTTAAAGGCAAACGCAGATGCAGGATTTTTACTTTTTTTTAATTTTTAATTTTTTATACATGCAGACAGCAGCAGAGGATACCTGGGTAGATCAATGGAGACGTTATTACTTGGCTGGTCTGCTGGGGAACGAGGGTTTGGGGGATGGGAGGTGGTGGTGGTGGGGGATTGGGAGTAAAGAGATGAAGAGCGTGTGAGTTTGAGGGATGTGATAATGAGGAGACAGCCATCATCTGCTCTGTTTTGTGTAGATAAAATAAGAGAGTATGAACATGTGTTGTTTGGCACATTTGTTTTGTGATACGGTGAAGAAAGAACACTAACCTTGCAGTAATGGTGAGGGTTAGTTATTCAGCATGACTGTAGTCAGAGTGACTGACAGAGATGTAGAAGGAACTGTCAGGAAGGGGACAAT